TCCATCCGTGAAGCTCTTGCCGATTTTTTTAGGCGAGTGTGCGCGGTTCTACGGCGAGAGGTACATTTCGAAAAGGAGCCGCCCTCAATCCTTGAAGCTCTTACCATTTTTAGAACGAATGTGCGCGGCGCTACACCGAGAGCCACACTTTGAAAACCAGCCGCCCTCCACCCGTGAAACGTTGGCAAATCTCGACAAACGAGTGTGCGCGGCGCTAGGGCGAGAGTCTCATTTTGAAACGGAGCCGCCCTCAACCCGTGAAGTTCTTGCGTTTTTTGTTGAACGAATGTGCACGGCGCTATGGCGAGAGCCACATTTTTGAAGCGACCCGTACTCCATCTGTGAAACTGTTGTCAGGTTTCAAATTGGAGGCCCATGCATGGTACGGAAGTCTCATGCGAAACGCCCCGCCCGCCCTTCCGACTGGCCTCGGGGTGCGACAAAGAGGAGTCATTCATGAGGGAAATGAATGGATGATGATGGTGATGCTGCTGCTGCTGATGATGATGATGATGCTGATGCTGATGCCGATTATGATGATGCTGATGATGCTGCTGTTGATGATGATGATGATGCTGATGCTGATGCTGCCGCTGATGCTGCTGATGCTGCTGATGCTGATGATACTGATCATGATGCTAATGCGGATGCTGATGCTGATGCTAAAGCTGATGATGATGGTGGTGATGATTGTGATGATGACGATGCTGCTGCTGCTGCTGCTGCTGCTGCTGATGATGATGATGATGATGATGATGATGATGATGATGATGATGATGATGATGATGAGGGGAAGGAGGAGGAGAAGGAGGAGGAGGAGGAACAGGATAATGAGGAACATGAGGAGGATGAGAAAGAGGAGGAGGAGGAGGAGAAGGAGGAGGATGATGAGGAGGAGTCGGTGGAGGAGGAAGAGGAGGATGAAGAGGAGGAGGAGGAGGAGGATGATGATGAGGAGGAGGCGGAGGAGGAGGAGGGGGAAAAGGAGGAGGAGAAGGAGGAGGAGGAGGACCAGTGTAAACCCAAGAGCCATCAACGATGTTGGAAGGAATACACCCTCCAAGCTCCCTCTTCATAGGCCCGTACAACGGTTCATTTCCATTGAGGGATCTGCTTCGTTGGAAGACAACCGTTTGCAGACCCGGAAGCATGCCAAAAAATTCCAACGCCACGGATCAACCTGACTGTTGCGTCTCGACGATCTTGGATCGGGCCAGAACGCCATTCTTGGGATTTCAGCACCGTAAATCAACGTAATTGGTGCGCCCCGAAAAATCCAGAATCCTTCAAAACACCATTCCTGGTACGTTCGTGGGATTCCGTGAAACCCTTGTAGATTTTACGAACGAATGTGCGCGGCGCTAAGGCGAGAGCCACATTTTGAAAAGGAACCGCTCTCAATCCATGAAACTCTTGCAAACTTCTAAAACGAATGTGCGCTGCGCTAAGGCGAGAGC